GAGGGGATGAGAAAGAAGGGTGGAAAGAGCCCGCAGGATTTCCGAAGCAAACCTGCAGGTTAAAGCTTCCAAAAATAACTTACATTCAACTTTTTAAAATAATACATAACCCCTCATATTTATAGGTATGAAAGGGGAATACAAAAGGACACAAACATTAATTGTCACAAGAACCTAAACATCACAAGCATTAATACCAAATGCTTTGCACGAAAAAACACACCCAAGCCAAGGAACCGAAGAGCCATCCACGGGAGCCAAGGAGGCCGCACGGAACCAAGGGGCCACGGTCTCGGGAAAGAGCCCAGGCACGGGAAAACCAGCGGCCAGCCGGAATTCCAAGAGGCAAAGCGCAAAAAAACAAAATCCATGGAGGAAACCAAGGAGTCACTTCATGGAAAAAGACAGTTTTTGGAATTCCAAAAGCCGGTTTGGAATTCCAAGAGACCTACATAATTAAAAACATAAAAAGCATAAAAAAACATTTAATATAGGATAATAAATGAACTAAAATATTAACTAATAATGAGCTAACCCTTAGTTCAATAAATGAACTAAAGTCTAGCTCATAAATGAGCTAAAATTTCAGCTCAAATAGTAGACTCAAGGGAAGCCAAAATTCATATTATTTTGGACATGGGTTGACCCCTCCCCCCCCCTTTGTCTACATCAGACTTCCCTTCTTGAGAATTCAGCTCCTGATGAATTGGTTGATGATTCCCTTGAGGCGGTGCATACTGTTCATCCAGATCTTTGAGTTTCTTGCCAAATTTCTTCAAAATTTCTTCTTGTTCTTTTTCAAATTGCTGTTGCAGATATCTTTTGTACTTCTCGAATTTTTGATCACATAGGAACATGTGATACTGAAGCTTATACAATCGATCTTGAAGCAGATCCGTCGAGTCACCTTCTGTAGGAATCCATCTGTCCAATGGAAGTGGGACATCAGGATTATGTTGATCGCTTTCTTCCTTGAATGTAGCCATATTTTTGGTATTTTTCATTTTTTTTACAGACTCAAAAAAGACTCAAAATAGACTAATCTAAACTTAGACTCAACAAAATTAAAACTTGACAGACTCAGACTTGACTAGACTTGACAAACTTAAAATTTGACAAACTACAACTTGACAATTAAAACAAATTTGACAAACCACAAACCTAGGACTTCCTAACTTGCTCTGATACCAAATGATGCGATCAAAAAATATAGGGGACCGTATATTTTTTATCACAAAAAATATAAAACGAAACGACACCGACAAAGCAAAGACTAGAAGAGGAAAGAACAAAATCTGACATTTCAAATAAAACTAAAAATAAGAAATTACAACGACGACGACTTGCAAACTTAAAATTAAAGACGACACCCTAAAGTTGCTTCACTTAGAGAAGAAGGATACAGGTGGAGTGGCACTTGCAGAGAGACGAAAGAGGTTAGAAGCCCGAGAAGAAAGGTTGGAAAGAGCCCGCAGGATTTCTAGAGGGGATGAGAAAGAAGGGTGGAAAGAGCCCGCAGGATTTTCAAAACAAACCCGCAGGTTAAAGCTTCCAAAAATAACTTATCATTCAACTTTTTAAAACAATACATAACCCCTCATATTTATAGGTATGAAAGGGGAATACAAAAGGACACAAACATTAATTGTCACAAGAACCTAAACATCACAAGCATTAATCCCAAATGCTTTGCACGAAAAAACACACCCAAGCCAAGGAACCGAAGAGCCATCCACGGGAGCCAAGGAGGCCGCACGGAACCAAGGGGCCACGGTCTCGGGAAAGAGCCCAGGCACGGGAAAACCAGCGGCCAGCCGGAATTCCAAGAGGCAAAGCACAAAAAAACAAAAGCCATGGAGGAAACCAAGGAGTCACCTCATGGAAAAAGACAATTCTTGGAATTCCAAAAGCCGGTTTGGAATTCCAAGAGATCTACATAATTAAAAACATAAAAAGCATAAAAGAACATTTAATATAGGATAATAAATGAACTAAAATGTTAGCTAATAATGAGCTAACCCTTAGTTCAATAAATGATCAAAAGTCCAGCTCATAAATGAGCTAAAATTTCAGCTCAAATAGTAGACTCAAGGGAAGCCAAAATTCATATTATTTTTGTCATGGGTTGACCCCCCCTTTGTCTACATCAATTTATTTCATCTAAATCTGTTTATTATATTAAAAACTGAGTAGATGTGGGTGATCTAAAGCACACAAAGAACCAAGAAAAATTCAAAACCTATTGAAACAAGTTAGTGCAACAACGCACATGAAGTTCAAAGCAACAAACAGAAAAGAAAATAGTAGAGCCAAAAAGGTAAAAACTAAGGATCATGTCCATTGCATACTGAGAAGCCCATAGATCAAAACACCTGAAAGTTTAAACTTATGCTCCCTGTTTCAAATATGGCATCTTAACAATTGAAGCTTCCGAAGTAGCCATCAAAAGCTAATCATCTGCAATAGAATCTTGCTGGAGAGAATTATTAGATATTTTAAAGACCAAGAAAAACATGCATACTGCCATATCTAAAGCAATCAGACATTCAGTCTTTGGCTTCGTTTCATATGGCTTATATTTTTCTTTTTTTGTTGTCGTAACTTTTTAAAAACTACTCAATCATAGTTTTTATTCTTCTTTTTCAAAAACAGTTTTAATATTCTCAGAAAAACACGGAAAAAATGGAAATGGAAGTCTTAGGAGTTAGGATCTAAAATTTCCCTAACAAAAAAATTAGGATTTGATACAAAAACATGCATGCTAAGATAAAAATCTGTAGTGTACTAACTTTTAGTTGTGCAAAAATGTCATCTCTTTGATCCAAAATCAGAAAACATATGCAACTCTCTCTAAACAATAGTTTAAAGGTTGTCAAATTTGAATTTTGAGAATGAAATAAAAATATACAACTCTTAGGAGTTACTGCCACTATTCCATGAGAATCAGAACCAAATCGGCTGCAAATTCCATCCTAGATGCTATTTCTTTTCCTTGTTCCTGTAGCCCAGATATCTGCCATAAGGTTTCCAAGAATCAGTTCCATTCATAGTACTTAATGATATTTGGAAAATTCATATAGGAAGTTCGAAGACGTGGCCTTCAAGTTGCTGTTGTTGGAATTCCTAAGACAATTGACAATGACATTGCGGTACGCTAGAGCAGAAATTATTTAGCATAGTCTTCTTACTTAGGCTAAAATAATATTCTTGAATATTATGCTGACTTGTTGCACTTGGAAAACAATTTGCTGTTGGTTTGATCTCAGGTTATTGACAAGTCCTTTGGCTTTGATACTGCTGTGGAAGAGGCTCAGCGGGCCATAAATGCAGCACATGTTGAAGCTGAAAGCGCTGAGAATGGCATTGGTATGGTAAAGCTAATGGGCCGCTATAGTGGTTAGTTGCTACTCTTTTTAGAGAACCATAATTTTCTTACACTTTGACACACGAATGCGATGATTCCCTGCTTTGTTCTATTCAGAAGTGAAAATTTTTTTATCTGAGTATCGTGCATTTTTTTTTGTTATTCGATATGTTTAAAGTTATGGTTGGGAGTAACTTTTCTAATTAGGAGGCACCAAATTTCTTGGTATAACAACAAGCCAATTCCATAACTTCAGCTCTTTTTTCTTAAAGAACTGCAAATTGCTTTAAAATAAAGAAATCTAATACAAACTATTAAGTGATAGAAAGCCTATCACAGTCCTCTTTTAACAAAGAAAAGAAAGTAGGAGGAACCTTATTATAATCCAAATCTTCCCACAAAAAATCACCTTTCAAAACAAAATTAGCACAAAAGTCGGCTAACTTATTACATTCTCTATTTGCAAAATGAAATAAAAAATCTTCAAAATAACTTCAGCTCTTGATGAGTGAACTTTTGGTGGTTTCCTATGATGTCAAAGTACCTGTAACTTCTCATTTTGAATCGTTTAATTGTTACCTGGCCATTTTTGTTCATTCTTTTTAAATGGAAAGCTTTGATATATTTTCGATTGATAGATTGTTGCTCATAACATGTGACAACTAATATAGCTTATCCTGGTACGTGGAGTATCTGTTCAATGCAGATTTGAATCGATGAACATGTCTGTCAAAAAAAAAAAAAAAAAAAAAAAAAGGGCTCATCTGATTTTTGACCTGTGGCAACCAAATGCTAATATTTTCTTTACCAAGCACACATATTTAGAAGTCTAATTTGACTAATGGTAATTTGCATCCTTAATATGTTCTCTGAAGCGGGCTAGCCACAATCTTTTTGTTGATTGAGACATTTGTCTACTTCAACTTTCTTTTGGGAATTCTTTATTCTGGCTATATCCAAATAGGAAATTAAAACCATGTGATGCAGTACAATGAACAAATTAGGCCTATATTCACAATTTATTATTTTATTTGCAATTTCCCATTTTATTTGAAATTTTATGTAATTAAGTCGTGGCATCTTTTTTATAAAGAGATCATGACCTAGGCTGTTGATATTTTTTATCGATTGATTCAAATTTTGAGTTCGTTTAAACCCTCAAAGTAGGCTTTCACTTCTCTTCTCTCTTCCCTTTATATTTAGTTATATTTTCTTCTTCTTCCCCCACTCAAGTCTCCTCTTTTAGTGCTTGTTCCTCTTTTTCTCTTAGAGAGATGGCAAAAATGTAAGTGAGATTGTGGTGTAACTCTATATGGAGGTAGTTACAACATAAGAGAAATTGTGGGTGCAAGTCTTTGGAGAGTTAGCTTCCTCACATCGCAGTGGAGTTTGTGGCATAGGTCTTATTAGGGATGCTTGTAGTACTAGAGGGGTTGGGATTTAATTCTTGATTATATTGCTATGACATAAACGTGGTTACAACATAATTATATTTAATGGTTGTGAGGCAAGTGAGGATGTGGTAGAATTTGTGTTGGAGATTTTTGTGGCACAATTGAGGTGATGCAAGACTTGAGGAAGATAGTTTTAGTGCAGGTGAAGGGTGCAATGAAGATTGATACATCATTGAAAATTGTCTTGAGCTGGCATGAATCTCGAGGCACATATTTGAATAGGAAACTTCCTGTTACGCGGCCCAACGAAAGAGAGAGAGAAGAGGGGGGCGGCTAGTGTGTGGGGCCCACACACTAATTAGTGATGGGTTGGAGGGAAAATTTGAAATTAAGGACTGTTTAGGGAATTAGACATTATCCTTTTCCTTTAATTTCATTCTTCTTGCTAGGGTAAGGATTATCTTGAAATTGAATATGAAATTTGAGATCTTCCTTTTGCTTGGGCTCTAGTCATTTGGCTAGAGATTTGGAGAGTCGTTTCTTCCTCTAGAATTGAAGAAACTTGTATCTTTTGCTATTTTTCTTTATTTGTTAGTGGAAACCATCATTTTTCTCTCAGATTTATACAATTTTTCTCAAGTTGCTGCTGTCCTATTCTTGTTTTGCCTTCAGAAAACAACATATTTTATGTTGGAGGTAACTATTTCCTATCACTTCCAAAATTAAATTCAGGACAATCTATACTCATATTTTAACAAACTTATAGTCGACCTGAGAGTTTCAATGAGACACACCCAATGACTTCAAAAGTATTCCAATTCTAGCTTAGATGAACCCAAATCAAGGGCTTGAAGCATAATTAAAAACTTTATGACTAAATTGAACGACCAAATAATCTTCAAATTTGGCATTCTTATAGTTGAATTGAGTGGCTCAGTGTGACGAATCCAGTGATCCTTCAAAGATCGCTTAATTTTGATATCATTAAGGTATTTAAATATTGAGTGAATGATTTATGATAAAGAAAAACAATATGGGTCGTTCATTGGAGTGTTTTGGATTTTCTCCATATTTATGAGTATGCTACTCTAAAAAAAATTATAAGTAGGCCTCCACTCTCTACATAAGGGGGGAGGAGTTTAGAGCTGGAGTCTGGACCTTTGCTTGAGATTTAAAAGGGCTCTGAGGCTCTAAGTGTATTGATCTTTTTTAGAGTAATGAGATTACATGTAGTAACTTAATTTCCACTTAGTAAGAATTTACTATTGACTCAATTTTTTGAATCAAGTAAATTCCAGTTTAATTGAGTCTAGTGGAGTTCAAATCGATCCAATTTAAACCCAAATCAAGCCTCTAATAGCTCACCCATTTCAGCCTAACCCAATTTATTCTTCTCAAATTAGGAAACCTAATTAGTGGTTGATGCTACCTTAAATTTTCAAGACCTATTGATGAGGACATCGTTAGCAATTTCGACACGTGTACCGTCGAAGACACCGGAGATCGACGGCCACGATCAGGAGTTTTATTTTAGTCATTTTATATAGTAGTTTATTTTATTTTTCAGTTTTTCCGTTTTTACCCTTATGGGTATTTGGTCGCTATTGTAGCCCAAGGGGCATTTTAGTTTTTTGTTTTCTTTGTCATTTTGAGGCCTATATATATGGCAATTTCTTATGTAATGAGGATGATGAATGATTGAATGAGAATTTTATTTTGTTTCTTCTTACTCTTCTTGCATGAGAGCTAGAGAGAAGTGAGAGAGAAAGCCCAAGGTGAGGGCAAAAGCAATACCCACCAGTCATTGGAAGAGTCTGTGGCTCGTGGTTTATCCTCTTCATTCCGCTCTTCTTTCTTTCCCCAACCCGCCGGCTCTGGCTCTTCCCATAGCCGCCGACTACACACCCGTTCCCGTATCCCACACATCATTTCATCCACTAACATCCTCCACTTCAACTCCAAGCTCCCCAACCCGACGGCAAAAGCCCCTCCTTCTTTGGCCTCCGGCCACATGCTTGCCTCAAACCATAATGATGATATCAATCATCATGATGGCTCCTTGATCAGTGTCTCACATTAAATTGAGGAGTTACCGAATTTTGAAATTCGAAAACTTTCCTTATTTGCGAAATCTAAAAAAAGGAAAGTTTTCAAATTCAAATTTCATATGAAACCTAATTGGAGAAGTTATTAATTTCCCTCCAACTTTTTGTTTCTTTTTGGAAAGAGCTTGGTTCCCCCCTTAATCCCTCCTCCTTCCCCTCTAAATGCCGCCGGCCAGCTATGAGGCTTCCCCTCACTAATTGCCACATTAAACCCCTCCCCTATTTGAAATTAAAACATTAATTTCAAATAAATCTCCCTCCCAAATTTTCAAATCCCGAAATTAATTTCAGAATTTGAATTAAAACTCCTCCCCCTCTCTTCAAAACCGCAGGCCTCCCCCTCTTTGCTCCCCTCATTAACTCCCCCATTCAAGGCATTAATGCCTTTGATTTGAAATTCAAATTCAAGTTAATTCCCTTCCAAACCTAATCAAATCTGAAATTAATTCTCAGATTTTGATTAATCTCTCATACACTCCACTAAACCTAATCTCTCCAAACCCTAGTCCCTCTCCCCTTGCACCCGCCGGCCTCCCCCCCCCTTTTTTTCTTTGGGAATCCCGCCGCCCACCTCTTCCCTCTTCTCCCACCACCCTCTCTCCCTACTCTCTCCCGTGGGAACTTTGAAGCCAAGAGGAGAAGAAGACGACGCCCTTCCACCTCCTTTCCCCTTGGGTACTCCTTCAACCCTTGGCGAGAATGCATGGCGGAACCCGAATGGAACTTTGGATTTGTGCATGACGATCGAGATCAAGTCGACATTATCCAATCACCATTCTTTGACGTGGGCTTTGATTTCGACGACACCATTGAAGAATACTTCGACCAGTATCCCTACAACCCCTTAGTTGACGTGATCGACGAGCAAGGTCAAAGGGACGTTGATCATCATTGGACGACAATCATCCTCCCACTCCGCCACCTATCCAAGGACGACGATCTAGGTGCCTTCTTCTCGGGAGTGACCTCGATTCTAATGTGGTAATCTTCTCTCGCCAAAGCCTAGTGTAGTTGAGTGATCAATCCCCGAGGTGCAAACTCTTCATTATTAAATTGTGGATTGTTAGCTAATAGCTCTTCGCATTTGCTACTATTTTTGTTTATCTACGCTAGATTTGGTTACTCTACATGTTGCTCCTGCGCTAAGCAAGTAGAAAACTAAGATTCTTAATGAATCTGCTTTATTTAATAAGTTATTAATTGAGATTTCATTGTCAATTATTCTTAAATTTATTATCAAGCTCCTTTTTGCATGTGATTTTACATTACCTATGCTATTGTCTTCCTATCCTATCATGACACCTTTAGGCATTTGTAAAGCTTTGGACACTTATATATGTATATATATATACATATATATCTATATATATATATACATCTATATGTATATATATACATCTATATATCTATATATATAATAACAATTGATTATTCTAAATTTCTAAAATTCCTAAAAGTTGTGAATCATTTTCGTACACTTTTTTTAATTCATATCGAAATCGATCTTAAATTCCCTTAAAATGATCATTCCTT